AGACCATTCCCCGTAGTCCTTGATAACGTCTTGGAGGGCCGACACAGACGTCGAGGGGTTCGTGATGGTCAAAAGAACGTCGTCTGCGTATGCTGAGACTGTAAACTTTTTGTCCCCTACTCGAACTCCTCCAATATCTGGATGTTGTCTAATCGCTTGCATCAAAGGCTCTAGCGCTAGTACAAACAGGAGTGGGGAGAGTGGGCACCCCTGCCTAGTGCCATTGTAGAGTCGAAAAGGCGTCATCGGGGCACCAGTGATCTGTATCTGTGCTCTCACCTCATGGTACATTGCTTTTGTAGTAGTTATAAATTCTTTCGGGAACCCTAGGTGGTTTAGTACCGCAAAGAGGAATTGCCATCTCACCCTATCAAAGGCCTTTTCTGCATCTATAGAAACCACTAGGGTAGGGATTTTAGATGTCATTTGTTTCCAGATTAGGTCAATATTCCTTCTGGTATTCTCAAACAGCTGTCTGCCCTGAATAAAGCCTACTTGGTCGGCATGGACGAGTGAGTTTAGTAGCGGATTTAATCTGTCAGCTTGTATTTTTGCTATTATTTTTAGATCTTGATTAATCAATGATATGGGTCTGTAGTTTCCTGGTTGGAGTGTGTCTTTGTCAGGTTTAGGTATCAATACTATGGTAGCTAGGGTCATGTCTGGAGGGAGGAGTCCCCCCTGTTTCATGTAGTCAAAGAGTTTCATTAGTTGGGGTGTAAGTTCTTCTTTGAAGGTTTTGTAGTATGTACCTTCGAACCCATCCGGGCCTGGAGCTTTGTTACCTTTCAAGGTAGATATGGCTCTATGTACTTCTTCCTCTGTAATTTCGGCTGACAAATTGGCCACCGCGTCTCTCCCTAGTTTGGGCAGGCCGAGGTTATTTAAGTAGCTGTTAATATGGTCTTCTTCACTTCCGTCAGGAGTGTGTGCGTCTGGTGTGTGGTTGTACAGTTTTTTGTAAAAGTCTTCAAAGACTTTGGCTATCTCGTCTGGTCTTGATTTCGTCGTTCCATCCAGATGTTTGATGGCCGTGATGTGGGATCGTTCTTGTCTAGGTCGCAGTGTTCGGGCCAGAAGTGAGTCCGTCTTATTGGATTTCTCGTAATAAGTCCGTTTCGTCCAGATCATGGATTGAGCAGTATCGTCCAGTAAGAGTGTGCGGATGTCCCTCCGAACCGCTACCAGTTTCTTATAGATCTCATTGTCGGGTGTTGCTTGATGTTTCTGTTCAAGATTCCTTAATTCATCTAACAGGGTCTCCAGTTGTTTATGTTTCATCTTCTTCTTCCTAGTGGCTAGTTTTATAAGGGTCCCTCTTATAACAGCTTTATGGGCCGCCCATATTGACCCTGCGCTAACATCCGGGGTATTATTTGTGGTGAAATATTCCACTATTTCAGTCCGTATCTGTTCTTTGAGTTCCGGGTCTCTTAGTAGCGATGTGTTTAGTCTCCACGTCCACGGCGAGGCCAAACATAAGTTGCCCAATGTAATGGACACGTCCGCATGGTCAGACCATGATATATTGCCAATCGCAGAACCTGTAATCCTGGGCATGCCTGTCGCGTTAGTTAGGAATAAGTCTATCCTGGAGTATGTGCCATGAGGTGTTGAGTAGAAGGAGTAGTCCCTGTCTCCTGGGTGGTGCGCTCGCCATACATCTGTTAAGCCCACGTCTAGTATAAATTTTTTGAGCAGTCGGTCTTGTCCCCCCCTGCCATGGGATCTCGGTGTTCCGTCTTTAGTGCTCCTGTCCGCTGCCGGGCATGGGGTGGCGTTGAAGTCTCCTCCCATATAGACCATGCCATGTGGAAGTAAGGAGATTTTCTCTCGGAGGGTGGTCCAGAACGAGGGGTCTCGTTGGTTAGGGGCATACACGTTGACCAAGTGTATGGTATGTGAGTACAAGATGCCCGATACTATAATGTATCGGCCGTCTGGGTCTGTTTCATGGGTCGTCTTGCGAAACGGGCAGCTGTTTCTGATCAGAATAGCTACTCCGTTGCGTTTGCATTGTGATCTTGCTTCACATGATCCTCGAAAGATGTGGTCTTTTAGGTTTACATTGGCTTGTTTCGAGAGGTGGGTTTCCTGGATGTAGGCAATGTCCGTCTTCAGTCTCTTTAGTTCCTTAAACATAAGGCGGCGCTTCTTAGGAGCATTAATTCCTTTAACATTCAATGACGTGATTTTAATCATCGCGACGTGTTTGGTTAGGTCTTTTATAGCCGTTCGGGAACCTGGGTCCTTCCACGTCTGGCTCAGTGTCATGTCCTGCGCCTCCCCGGGCACCCCCCCGCCTCCGTCGCTCCTCCAGGTCGCACCACACAAAAATAGGGGAGAAAAGAGAGGATAGTAAAGAAGAAGAAGAAGAAAGACATCCGAATCGAGTCAGATGTATAGATGTAGAAACTCTGGTCTTACTCTTTGCCAGGGTTTTTCTGGGAGCATGTTCCTTCATCCCGTCCACGATCAACGTAAGAAGGGATTAGGGATATGTGGGTTCCGTCACGCGTGCGCCTACACAATGTAATTTGACCTCTTATTTCTCTTATCCGAGGTAGTATATGACTAGGGATTTGTCCTATCGGGACCCCTCTATCAGTCTTTCCTGGTTATTAATGTGTGGGTGTTTGGGGGGCGCGATCAGCAGGGTTCTTTCCGTCCCTGATCCCCTTCTCCCCGCCCCGTATCCCCCCCCTCTCAAGGCGGGACTCTCCAGTTCCTACGCTATCTCTCAGGCGTTCAGTCAATGAGGTCGCGTTGTAATTGTCCGGTGTCTCTTCCCAAGGTGTTTATCCGACCACCCCCCTTTTTTTCTTCCATGTGGTTAGGTGTGAAGATATATACATACAGGAAGTGCTACCCTGACCGTTACAATCCTATGCGTCTATTGTGTGATGTTGGTGTTCGTGGGATCACGGGTTGGTAGTGTCAGTATGGTCATGCATGTGAGGGTATAACCGATTTGTCCTGGTTCCTATCGGGGGTACTTCCCATGTAGGGAGGGTCGCCTGGTAGGTGGTTAGGAGGACAGGCTCAGAGGGGATCGAAGACAGATTCAGCGTCTTAGTGGTCCTAGAAAATAATTAATTAATTATATATATTTATTGTTTTTTTTGTTTTTTGTTTTTTTTTCTTCCCCTCCTCTTTTCCTTTTTCTTTTGGGTGTATGTGTGAAATTTTGTAAGAGTATGGTCCCCCCTCTTTCTCTGCTATATATATGTAGTATCAGGGGTGATAGATGTTGGGAGCCTGCCACTGTATAGAGGGAGCATGGTGTCGCGGGAGAAGGATCTCCGAGGAAAACCACGGGACGGGGAGGGGGGGGGAGATCGATGAGATCATTACAGCGGTAGGGTTTTAGATAGGACTAAAGAATGGTACCCGACATGGGTAAGAGTCTGGGGTGGTTATAACTTGGGTAAAGTATAGGTAACCAAAACGATTTTCACCTCTATCTATCTAATGTACCCCATCATAACATTACATATGTATAAAACATCAACAACACTCCTTTCCCCCCTCCCTCCCCTTTTTTTTTTTTCCTTCTTTTTCCCTTTCCCCCCCGGACAGTAGGTAGAGGATCGTGAATAGTAACAGGGTTCAGAATATCAAGGGACATGCAATATTACTGTGGTTTAGAGAAATAATGATGAGATGATGTAGTCTGATGCAGGCCTACACGCCAAAAAATTAGGCGGATCCGGTTCCCACCAGGCCTGGGTGTCAATGAAACCTCCACCTTGGTAAAAGTCCCGGGGGCCCCCACAGCCTGCGGGATCAGCTGTCAGGTTGAGTCCTGTAAAAGGCTGCTTGAAGCCTATTGCGGTACCCCCCACAGCCCTCCCAAAGCAAGTCGCGAGGGGGGCAGACCCCCTCCCGTATTAGCCTCCTCGACAATTTAAAGTAGGACACTGGCATGTAACATAAAGTAACATAATATTGAAACTACAGTTAAAACAAGAATGGAGGATTGGCTGAAAAGGGGGACTAGCCAGGGCAGGTTTCGATGTAAAACCCCTGAGAGTTCCAGTCAGAGTACGAAAAAGGGGGCTAGTGTCGGCCCTCATCACAGCGAGGGGAGAGCTAGTTTAAACTGAACAGTCTCCGTGGAATATGAGGTGGGGTATAAGGCGGTGGATGGTGTTGTGTGATGTATGTATTATACGATACCCACAGTGCTTCAGCGATGGCCTCTAGCTCCGACTTCTTGCCACTCTGTCTGTAGTTGTTGAAGCTCGGTAGGGTGCAGAGAGATATCTGGAAGTCGGGGGGGTGATTGTAGGCCGAGGTTCCTAAAGAAACGTTGGGGATCCCCTCCCGGCATCAGGATATGTGAGCGGTCTCCCCGGAACACCATAAGCTTGAAGGGGAATCCCAAGGCATATTTCAGACCTGCGTCTCGTAGGGCTGCTGTGATAGGCCTCCACTCTCGTCGTCGTTGAAGTGTCGACGGTGCCAGATCCTGGTATAAGGATAATGTGGCCCCTGCGTACCGTAACGGTACATCTCGGCTTTTCCCCATCAGCGCTTCCTTCGTGCTATAGTATAGGAAGCGGACGATTACGTCCCGCGGGGTGTTGGTGTCGATCTTCTGAGGTCTCAGGGCTCTATGTGCCCTTTCCATGTGCCACTGTTCCTCCGATAAGGCGGGCAGGAGAGGCTTCAGGGCAGAGAATAGTATCCCCTTTAAATCCTCGTCTTTCTCCTCAGGGAGGCCCCGAATGCGGAGGTTATTTCTCCGTGACCGGTTGGCCATATCTTCCAATGTTAGGTCGGTTTCCACCAGATGTGAGGTCATACGGTTTACTCGATCTATAAGCGAGTTGTGGGCTAGCGTTGTGGTCTCCATGCGCTCTTCCAAGATGGCCGTGCGTTTTCCCAGGGCCCCTATCTCTGTTTGGAGAATTGCCGTTGAGTTGGCTATTTCTCCTGCCAAGAAGGCCCTGACTTCAGCGAGTTTGGCCAAAACGGTATCTTGGTCATGGAGTGGGGCTTCCCTGGCCGCCCTCGGTGATATTTGTGGGGAGCTCCCGTCGCCATCTTGACTTCCTGCACGGCCTTGTTTGTGCATGGGGAAGTGGTCTAGGACGGAGCTGGAGGTCCCAATTTCGGCCGTTTTTTTCCCCTGCTTCTTAGGGGGTCTCTTCTCCATGTCGGAGGTTCCCGTGAGGGGTAGTTTATCGATTTTTGAGGTCGCTTTTGAATGCTTTAGGCACAGTTGCTGCGGAGCTCTACCGAAACACGTCCAGTCTCATTGACGGCTCGGCCACGCCCCAACAGTGCTTTCTAAAGACTGTCTCCTAGCACCCACATGTCCACTTGTCTCCTTACCTTCTTACTAGCAGGCAGAAGCTCCTGGTATATAGTCTGAGAAGGAGAAAAGGTGGATGTGGTGGGTGTAGAAGAAAAGGAACATGTCACAGTGTTAGAGAGACCAAAGTCAGCATCACCCTAACTAATTTCATTTCAGCTAGTCCACACAAGTTTTGTTTCCATATATCTCTCTTAAGCAAGAGTATGTGAACAGTAGTTAGGGTTGCCACCTTTCTTGGGAAAAAAATACAGGCCTTACTAATTTGCATAAATTATGTATGTGTGACATCACATGATGTAAATCACAAGGAGTGACATAAGAGAAAAGTCTGTGAAATCACCAAAAAACTACTTAAGGAACACTATAGTCACCTAAATTACTTTAGCTAAATAAAGCAGTTTTAGTGTATAGATCATTCCCCTGCAATTTCACTGCTTAATTCACTGTCATTTAGGAGTTAAATCACTGTTTCTGTTTATGCAGCCCTAGCCACACCTCCCCTGGCTATGATTGACAGAGCCTGCATGAACAAAAAAACTGGTTTCACTTTCAAACAGATGTAATTTACCTTAAATAATTGTATCTCAATCTCTAAATTGAACTTTAATCACATACAGGAGGCTCTTGCAGGGTATAGCAAGCTATTAACATAACAGGGGATAAGGAAATCTTAATTAAACAGAACTTGCAATAAAGAAAGCCTAAATAGGGCTCTCTTTACAGGAAGTGTTTATGGAAGGCTGTGCAAGTCACATGCAGGGAGGTGTGACTAGGGTTCATAAACACAGGGATTTAACTCCTAAATGGCAGAGGATTGAGCAGTGAGGCTGCAGGGGCATGTTCTATACACCAAAACTGCTTTATTAAGCTAAAGTTGTTCAGGTGATTATAGTGTCCCTTTAGTTTGATTCTGTTGTATAGATTGATTGCTCCCAGTGTCCTCATGTCGCCCAATGTCCTCTAGTGTGTGTGTCCCCATGTGTAACAGTGTCACTGGCGAACACTGTGATACTTGGGGACACTGAGACAATGTATCACAGTGTCCCTATGTATAAGTGTCTCCGTGCCCCATGTCTCCCAGTGTCCCCATGTCACTAGGGGATACTGACACTGGGAGGCATGGTGACACAGACACCAGGGACACTGGCATGGGGACACTGACACTTGATGACATTGTGTCCCTCGTGTCTGTGTCCCCATGTCTCCCAGTGTCTCCATGTCTCAGTGTCTCCATGTGTGTCTATTTCCCCATGTGTGTCTGTGGCCCCATGTCTCCCAGCGTCCCCTAATGTCTGTGTTCCCAGGTCTGTGTCCCCTAGTGTCTCCGTGTCCCCATGTGTGTCTGTTTCCCATAGGTCTCCCTGTGTCCCTATGTCTCACAGTGTCCCCAGTGTCTGTGTCCCCATGTCTCTCTGCAGCCTCTACCCCATCCCTTACTTCCCTGAGCTGTAGGCTGTCTCTGCAGACTGGGAGCTGCTGTCTGCACTCTCTGTGCTGTGTAGCTGCTCCGCCTCGGATCAGTGAGTAGAGAGATGCAGGTATATGCTGTAACTTCCTATCCCTATCTCTCACTACACACACAGCGACCCCTACCGGCTGGTGATGGTATTGCCGGCGTTTGTATTGCCAGTTTTATTGCAATATCGGCACAGGCCAGGCAGCCTCAAATAAATACCGGCCAGGTGGCAAACCTAAGAAGTGTGTAAAGAAAAGAAAAAAAAACTCTCCAACATCATATCCTTTTTGAAGTTAGAACTCAATTTTCAACCACAAATGCATTGGCCAGTAGTTATTCTTTAATTAAAATAAAATAAAGAAATACTAGCTAATTACCACTCTCACTGCAATTCACAAAAATAGTTAGAAGCTACTATTCAGGTGGTTAGTGGCCCTACAAGACTAAAAGATGACTGAATGTGTCTTCCTAATGTAATTGAGGGTGTACCTGTGCATGTGGGATGAACATGTCATTCTGATCACATTGATCAAACGATAAAGAATACCTTGTATCAGACCAAGCACACTTCAATTACAGATACATACTCTCATCGATAGCGATCTAGAAAAGGCCTCCCAATAATATGTTTAATTTTCACTCCCCATTATTGCACTCACTATGGGCAGCTATTTTTATTGTGTGTTTGTCTTTATTCATTTCATTACAGTTTTTCGAAGTCTAGTGAAGGGGATCTACTCAGGGTCCTAGTTTCCTTCATGAGTAGTGGATAAGGCCAAGTTGGGAAACTTTAATGGACTTTTCTAATCTCCACTCTCGTTTTCCTTTGACCCTGTCCTCCCTTGCCTCAAATAATTTTTCCAACGGTCTCCCTCTGCTTTATAGTGCATTATCGAGGTAGTCATAGGGACTTTTTTTTCCATCTGCCCCTATAGGTATTTGTAGGTTGATATAGCTTACATTTGTATTAACTGTAAATATATATGTATTTTAATTTTTTTTACTTTTAGCCATTTTTCTCTGTTCTCTTCCATATTTCCCCTTCTTTAGTTCATAGTGTAGTTAGTAAGGTGGACCTCTTTGGGCTTTAGTTTCCAAGACTTTGGCTATAAGGTTTAACCTTTTCTCATTTAGACCACGGTCACCCCCAGATACCAATCACTTTTTTTTTAAATTCTTTATTTTTGTTTCAACACCAAGTGCAGCTTAATAACATGAAGTGGCCCGCGCAGGGGCCTTTCATCAACATATAATGCAATTCGTTATACAGAGAATAGTTGAAGGTGTATCAGGTATACTGGTTTTAATGTGTCGCTCGGTGTTGTTTTTCGATTTTTAGGGCCTTTCCGGTCCCTATGTCAAACATGAACAAAAATTAATTCCATACAATGCGCTATACCTGCCGCCCGGCAGGTTCATCGTCATTGTGGTCGTCTGTGTAACACTCATAGTAGTTCTTACTGTTGTGTTCCTTATGTGTTCGCTAATGCGTCTGATTTGTTTCGTACTGTATTGGCAGCGGACTTCTTGTATGTCCGTCCCCTAAGGTTATGTCCGTCTAGGTCCGAGTTGGGTGCTCCCCCAACGTGAACAGTTTCCATGAGGCTGTTGGAGGCCCTTATGTGGCGTTCTTCCCCGCTTTGGGGCGATTCCCTAAGGGACTGCTAGCCAGGTCGCATGTGTGTGGTGGTCATTATGCCGCAGTGAGCGTTCATTGCGTTAGTTTTCTACGAGTGTTTTGTCCTGTTTTTGCTGCCTAACTCTGTGTGTGTCACCTGTGATTCAAGGCATTCGCGTTAGCTGGTGTTTGTCTGATATGGTGTCCCGTATGGCTGTTAAATTAAGAGATAGGGAGGGGGGGGGTCCTGGACGGGGCTGTGGGGTGAAGTAAGGAAGGGGTAGGGGGAGGGGTGTGTTGTTCGTCGGGGCGCCCGGCGGGTGTAGGTCTACGGATCTGTTACATACCTTTTTCAAGCTATATGGTGTCATTCATTAGCGTACACTTCCCAGGGTTGCCAGATTTTTAGGAATGATTTTTCCGTGTTTCTAATTTGGGCTGTGAGTTTGTCCATCAGGTATGTGTCTTTGATTTTAACTATCACATCGTTGTCGGTGGGAACTGTGGGTTTCAACCACATCTGTGCAAGAGCTCTTCTCGCAGCCAGTGTGAGTTTGTTTAAAAGTTGTTGTTCCTTCCTGGGGAGGCCGTCTGTTGGTCGGGACAGTAGTATCGCTCAGGGGTCTAAGTCTATGTGTTGTGTGAGGACATCTTTCAGTAATGTCTGAACACTCCTCCAGTATTTGGTCACTTCAGGGCATTCCCACCACATGTGGACAAAGGTGCCTTTGCCTCCGCATTCCTTCCAACATGTGTCTGTCGAGGTTTTCCCCATCTTATGGAGCTGGACAGGTGTTGTGTACCATCTCATAAGCATTTTGTAGGATTGTTCCTGGTGTAATACACAAATCGACGTTTTAGCCGTCGCTTCCCATATATCTACCCAATCCTCACCTTCTAAGGCCCCCCCCAGGTCCGCTGGTGTATGTATCTTGGGTCTGTAGCTCCCTTTTCCGGGGCGCTGAGCTGCGCATAAATGGCCGTAATCAACCCCTTTTGAGTTGTTTCAGCGTTACACAGCTCTTCATAGAATTTCATTGGGATCTGTGCTGCTTTTTTTTATTTCGGGGTTTTTGGCAAAGTCTCGCAACTGTACATATCGGAAGACGTCTTTTGTTGTTAGGGGTGCCATGGTTTTTAGGGTGTCAAAGGTTTTGAAGGAGTCGCCGTCATACACGTGCCCATATCTTTGCATTCCCGTGTATTCTATCCCCCTAAAGTCTCGTGCGCTCAGCCCGGGCCCAAATGCTTTATTCCGCAGGTACGGTGTCAGCGGCGAGGGTGTATGTTTTAGTGCGTATTTGGTGGCTGTCAAATCCCAGATCCTAATGGAATTAAGGATCGCCGGGCAAGTGGTGCGTAGGGGTGGTCTGTCTTGTTTGGGTACCCATATCCAGAACTGTGGAAGGTCCGTGCTCATAAGTTTTGTCTCTAGATCCACCCACCTGTGCAAGCCCTCCGGTGTATGCCATGCTATTATTTGTGCCAATTGAGCCGCCAGGTAATATTGATACAGGTTTGTGAGTCCCAGCCCGCCCTTCGCTGTCGGTCGGTACAGTACCTGTCTTGCGATCCTATGTCTTTTCTGCGCCCAGATGAAGTTATCTATGTGTTTCTGGAGTGTTTGTAGGTCTTGTTTAGTCACTTTGATTGGTAGGGCCTGGAACAGGAACAGTAGTCGTGGGAGTAGTGTCATTTTGATTGCGTGCAGTCTGCCAATCCACGATATGGGCTTTTCATGCCACTTTTCCAGATCGCGACAGAGCGCCTGGATATTGGGCATGTAATTGGCGCTGTATAGTTTCTCCAGGTCCGCAGTGCGTTTAATACCGAGGTATTTAATATCAGGTCTC